ATGATATTATGGAAACTCTACCGAATAATTTAAAGATAACCATTTGATGTACCACCCTATACATGTATATGTCTGTATACAAACATACATATGTATGTATATGTTCATTAAAAAATTATGCTGTCTTGTATTACTTTTATTTATTACATATTAATTTTTTTTTTTGTACTTCGGTTTTTCATTTCATAAATATTAATAACAGATATACACACATGTCTGCCACACACTCTTCAAATAAGAAAAATGTTCCCATTATATTAATTAACGCATGAAATTTGCAACCTTATGTTTAGCCCCAGGCCCAACCGAATAAAAAGTATATATAACAAAAATAACCAGTCAGTGAGTGATACTACCATCCTGCCAAGCAGTTAAATCAGTCATTTGTTTACTCATTCTGACATATTAAATAATAAGCCTAATATGATATTCTGTACAAACTCATAAAAGGAATTATTGTAATTTTATGTAATGGAAACCAAAAAAAAGAATAAATAAAAAACCCAACATTATAATTAAGTAATTTTGTAAAGAAAAATGAAAAAAAATTATTTAATCCTAAAAGTAGACAACAAAGATTTTGTATAATGATTTAATAAACAAAATACCCAACCCAAAACACCCACGTCAAAGTTAATTTGAAAATATTTCCTGGAAATTAATGTTAACTAAACCAAATGGCAGTGAGTGAGTGATTTAAACAAGAATTCTAAATGATCAAAAAGCCGTTTCAAAGAATGATTGATGATTAAACACAATAATGATGAAAACTTTAAAGATTTCCCAATAAGCCAGGACAATTACAATTACAAAAATAAACTTTTAATAATTATTATTAACATTTTCATTTCTTAATTTACTACCCATCTATATGATTAGCAGCACTTGCGTAATGCATTTCATCTTGTCATTTACGTCAGCACTCGTTTGTTACATCATTTTGATGTCATTATCGTCACTCTGTCATTGTGTTGTCGTTGTTCAGTGTGTTAAAGACTATTTGACATTTTATTGCTGTATTGATTAAAAGCAACTCAATCATATGTTCAAATCAAGTAACATTTGACATTTGTAACTACACACACACACACACATACACAGAAATACTTAATCGCTTTCATACTCAAATGAAAATGTTTGTGATTTTACGCAGATTAATTTTTGAATTTGTTATAAAACCATTTTTAGTTGTTCCTGAAATGGAAAAGTGATTTTCTCATTAACTCGCTAGAAATGTGATTATCATGTTAATAATATAATTAATATTAAATTAACTTTGTATGTGTGAGTGGCAATATCATTACTGTAAAGGTTATTCAATACACACTTTTGGCTATTTATAAGGCAACGAACTAAAAAGCCATAGGTTACTCCCTCTACCTAATCCTCTTTTCTTTTAAATTCCTTCCTCCCTCCATTTATCCTATGCCCCACCTGTAAGGTTAAGGTGGTTAGTAGTAGTACCAAGCAAGAGCATCAATAGATAATCAATGGTAACAGAATATTAGTCTCTAGCAGCTCTCTTCTGGTACTATGACACGGGCTGGTTTTAGCTTCTAATCTAGTCCATGTACGCCGTCACTACATGGATTGTTTATCACATTACGTGTATATTAGTGGGACCAAAATATAAAGAACAAAAAATGGAGTAGATTAGCTCCTCCTTAGAAGACGATCTCTAAGCCACTAGCCAAAGTCCCTTGGCCTAATTGTTAGGTAGTAACAGCTCTGGACACCGCACCCTTCTACTCTCCAATATCATGACAAACACTCCTTAATCAGAAGCCATAAAAGTACATCCAGGCAATGTTCATTGAGCGAGATGAGGAAGATCGCATCAAATATCAAGCTGTAACAGAGGAATATCAAAAATTTTTGGAAAACTTACCCACTTCCTTACACTTCTAAGGAAACAGTCCAAAATACAGAGAGATCCAAGGGAATCTGCTCTCAGACAGAGCAGAGAAAGATAGCCGACAAAAAAAAGCCGCTCATGGGCCCTTCACTACCACAATTGCTACTGCCAGATGACCTATTAAAAAGGTAATGAAGGATCATCTCCTCATGGCCATGGCAAACTAAAGGTGAGATGTCACTAGACCTGTCGAATCCAAATGAAACGATATGGTTATGGATCACTTAGTCGCAAATAAGAATGGTATGTCAGTCCGTTTTGACTCCATCAAAGATCGCATCAAATATCAAGCTGTAAAAGAGGAGTATCAAACATTTTTGGAAAACTTACCCACTTCCTTACACTTCTAGGGAAACAGTCCAAAATACAGAGAGGTCCAAGCGAATCTGCTCTCAGACAGAGCAGAGAAAGATAGCCGACAAAATAAGCCACTCATGGGCCCTTCACTACTACAATTGCTACTACCAGATGACCTATTAATAATGTAATGAAGGATCATCTCCTCATGGCCCTGGCAAACTAAAGGTGAGATGTCACTAGACCTGTCGAATCCAAATGAAACGATCTGGTTATGGATCACTTAGTCGCAAATAAGAATGGTATGTCAGTCCATTTTGACTCCAGTGATATTCACAGGGGATACACTATTATCAAGTTTTGAAATTTCAAGTTTTCAAAGGACTTCCTTATAAAATGTATCGCTAAGATTAGTAATGCATGGGATAGTTGAAGTCTTAAGGTGATCCCAGACAAAGAAATTTCAATGAGATCTCGCGCAACAATCTAGTTACCAAAAATGACAAACGAAGAACCGATGATGTTGGAATGTCTGAAGGTTAGTAATCCCAAAATACACATGGCGACGGTTATACATGTCTAATCCTTGCCATTATGTAAGCAGGCTCCGTGAAACTAGAAAAGACGGATTTTAGGCTGTTCTTTGTAGTGAGGGACGTTAAAATAAAGATGTTACGACCGAACAAATCGGCGAGAGGCGAGGCAAATGATGCTGCTTGGGTTTAACCAACCAAGACTCTGAAACATTGCTGGATATCTTTCTAATCGAAATATATTGAAGATACGATCCGAGCCGCTCTTATCTTTAGGAAAATTGATCAATGGGGGGTTACAAAACACACGGAATGATCCGTGTCATTCTGTCAAACTGTATCAGCCCAAAGTTTTTCACCAAGAAAGAA